CGGTTACATGTAGGGAAGGTATTAAGCACCCCTACAACGCCCTAAATCGGTACCCTATGATGAAGATAACGTAATAAGAATTAATAATTAAAATATTTAATCCCCCTTATTAATGATTATTTATATGAAAATTAAATTACACGGTGAACCCTAGGAAATCTACATAATTGCGTTTATGATAGCAATAATTAAAATATGGAAAAAGAGGATGGAGTTTGAAAAGAATATGGGTGTGTGCATTGCATTATAGAGTAGTGGGGTAGTTAATGCATTTTAACAGAGAATAATGGATGGGTAAGGAGGGAATAAAGGGGAAAATTGACTATAAAATGTGTACACCAAATATGAGTATTTCCCTTATTATTAGTATAGAAATATAGATAAAAGTTGCATTTGAATTGGAAAGAAAAAACAGTACAAGGAGATGGAGAATAAGGAATACCAAAACAAACACAGACTGAAATCCTAGCAATATGATAGGAATGGTATAATATAGGGAATTCCATTTAAAAGAAAAATTGCCAATTATCTGATTTTTCTAAGTCATTGGCTTTTGGTATTTGAATTCAGAAACTCACATGCTGGAAGATATACATTGTATAAGGACCAACATTCGACAGGGTATTGACCCAAAATTCCTGCTTAAACTATGGCAACATGTGACTAATCACTTTCCTTTGGAGTGAGTTAATGTACTGGAGACAGCAAACCTTATCATTGACTTTTTTTTTCTACTACTACATAAATCCAAGGAAAATTGAAAATAAAGCTTAATACCCATGATATACCTGTGTTGCCTAATTTCCTTATTTATTAATTAAATTCAATCCCGAATTAGGCAAAGGAAAGTTAGTTCAAAATCCCTTATTTTCTCAATATTAGTTACAGTAGAGGAAACATGAGGGGAAGAAAAACTGCACTAGTTAAAAACTTAGGCCATGTTTGGATAAACTTCTTCATAAACACTTAGAGGAGAAGATAATAGGAAAATAAAATGAATCAAGTTTGTCCTATAAGCTAATTTTAGTTTTGGAGAGAAGCTTATTTCTATTTATCTTAAGCCTTTATGAAGAAATTCATACAAACATGGCCTTAAAATACAATATTATACACCAAAGTAAGAAGAAAATAGTCATACTTGACCCAAGATAGTCTTACATACCAGCATATTCTCAGAAGTAGGAGTAAGGAATGAAACTTTTGCCAATGAATTATCCAACTGCACCACTTGACCATTGTACCAACGCCCATCTTTGTGACGAAATCTACATTTAGATCCTACAGAATAACATTGTTCTTCCAATGGCTCTGGTTCAACATCTGTGGGATCAAGGGGCTCCACTTTCTCTTCTTCAGTAAAAATATTAGTGTTATGCAGCACTGAATCTGCTTAGTTAATGCATTTTAACAGAGAATAATGGATGGTTAAGGAGGAAATAAAGGGTAAAATTGACTATAAAATGTGTACACCAAATATGAGTATTTCCCTTATTATTAGTATAGAAATATAGATAAAAGTTGCATTTGAATTGGAAAGAAAAAACAGTACAAGGAGATGGAGAATAAGGAATACCAAAACAAACACAGACTGAAATCCTAGCAATATGATAGGAATGGTATAATATAGGGAATTCCATTTAAAAGAAAAATTGCCAATTATCTGATTTTTCTAAGTCATTGGCTTTTGGTATTTGAATTCAGAAACTCACATGCTGGAAGATATACATTGTATAAGGACCAACATTCGACAGGGTATTGACCCAAAATTCCTGCTTAAACTATGGCAACATGTGACTAATCACTTTCCTTTGGAGTGAGTTAATGTACTGGAGACAGCAAACCTTATCATTGACTTTTTTTTTCTACTACTACATAAATCCAAGGAAAATTGAAAATAAAGCTTAATACCCATGATATACCTGTGTTGCCTAATTTCCTTATTTATTAATTAAATTCAATCCCGAATTAGGCAAAGGAAAGTTAGTTCAAAATCCCTTATTTTCTCAATATTAGTTACAGTAGAGGAAACATGAGGGGAAGAAAAACTGCACTAGTTAAAAACTTAGGCCATGTTTGGATAAACTTCTTCATAAACACTTAGAGGAGAAGATAATAGGAAAATAAAATGAATCAAGTTTGTCCTATAAGCTAATTTTAGTTTTGGAGAGAAGCTTATTTCTATTTATCTTAAGCCTTTATGAAGAAATTCATACAAACATGGCCTTAAAATACAATATTATACACCAAAGTAAGAAGAAAATAGTCATACTTGACCCAAGATAGTCTTACATACCAGCATATTCTCAGAAGTAGGAGTAAGGAATGAAACTTTTGCCAATGAATTATCCAACTGCACCACTTGACCATTGTACCAACGCCCATCTTTGTGACGAAATCTACATTTAGATCCTACAGAATAACATTGTTCTTCCAATGGCTCTGGTTCAACATCTGTGGGATCAAGGGGCTCCACTTTCTCTTCTTCAGTAAAAATATTAGTGTTATGCAGCACTGAATCTGCTTCCTGTAACAGTCGTGCACGTTTTAGGTGAAAAAGTCCTTCTTCTGCATCCTTAATTGCCTGAACGAGCTCCTCATGAACCTGTGATATCAAACAATTTTAGGAGATTTACAGGTCCATTCCGAAATCGGAACGGCCCGTTCTGGTTACGGTCGTTATGTGTAAATTTTGTAACTAGAACGACCCGTTCTGAAATTGGAACGACCCGTTCCAGAGATAAAATTAACACGTCACTTGGTATGTTGGAACGGGCGTTCCAAACAAGGATCCTTAGGCTTTTTTTATAACTTGGAACGGCCTGTTCTAGTTAAAGCTTTAGCCCTCTTTTGAAGAGTTTGGAACGGCCTGTTCCAATCTTGGAACGGCCCGTTCCAATCTTGGAACGACCTGTTCCAATTTAAGAACGACCCGTTCCAAATTAGGGTTATTGGATTTTTTAAGAACTTGGAACGGCCCGTTTCGGTTTTGGAACAGCCCGTTCCAGTCTTCTAAAATTAGCTTGTTTGGGCTTTTGGGCCTTCTAAAGTCTTGTCTTGTTGTTTGCATGCTTCGGGAGCTCCTTCCCTTCATAACAAAGGTTCATTTCCTTGTTTGTATTCCTCCGGACGAAATTGGGTGTCTACATACCTTAGTCCATTGGTGTTAGGTTAAAGCCTGAAGATGTTTTGTGTAAAACAAATACTTGGGTAGTTGTTTAAATAAGCAAGTCAAAGAACACTTACAGTTGAAACAAAAGTGATTTGGTAAAGAATACTTGTAACTTGGATAAGATAGTGAAATTTGATCTGGTTGAATTAGAAACTAGACGTAGTTTTGGTGGTTAAGACAAACCAATATAAAAACACCTTGTATTCTTTTTGTTTACTTTTTCTCCTTATTGCAAAATTATTGCCTCACTGTTTTAGAAAAAGTGAGTTTTTAAGTGACACATTCAACCCTTTTTTAGTATCTCTCTTTTCTCCATAATTGGCCTATCAAACTTGATCAAATTGGCCCATTTCTTTTAGTTAAATTTTATAAAGAAAGATAAAAAATAATACTAGGCTAGATAAACTTGGTATGTTTCGAATTTGAAAATTATCGATATATTAGACTGAGCCAAATAAACAAGTTTTTTTTTTGGTCAATTTTTTTATTCTAACCATTTTTTCACCTTTAAAATTTGGCATCAAATCTTTAATCAATATCTCAAATTTGAATATCTCAAATTTGAGTATAGTAACAAAGAAAACTTAGTCAAGAAATCTTGTAAAAGTGGTCAGTAAAATTTCAACCCTCAAAACCATGATACTTTGATGGTAGTAAAAATGATGGTTAAATTTGTTTTAGTCCTTATAGTTTAAAGTACACTTTTTTAATCTTAAAACTTATTTTTTTCAATTCTTTTTTGCCCTTATAGCTTATGATATATCATTTTAGTTTCTATACTTACAATTTTTTAACCCTTTTAGTCCCTATCATTATTTTTTTTGTAACATTATCTGTTTTGTATTGACATGATAAAAGTCTACAATTTTGTGAGGATAAAAAATTTGTTTGATTAATGGGTCTCGTAAGTGAGGGTATAAAAGGGACACAAAATATCGAGAGACCTAATTTAAAATAAATTCAACAAAATAAATTTGATATCAGATATACAAAATTGAATAATACATCTATCACGTCAATACGAAAAAGATAACTTCATAAAAAAAATTAACAAAAATGATAGAGTTATCAAAGTAGGTCAAACTCGTGAACCAACCCGACCCACCATGAATTTGAGTTGGGATGGGCTAGGAAATTTGGACTTGTTCCAATTATAAGAAAAATTTGACATGACTCACTTATAATCCAGCTCACTTAGTATACTTTTTATTTTTTAGATTTTCAAATGATAATTTATGTGATTATACATTTACACTATTGACTAAATTTTGTAAATATTAGTTGTAAATTATAATAATTAGTGCCAATTTGATATTATTTGTCAATATTTTTTGCAACAACTTTGATTTTATACATTGATTAAGTTGGTTGAAGATGATGTCTATGTTTTAACATTTTATTTGTCCTATTTGTTAACATAGTTGTAATTCTAAAATACAAAATTATGACATGTATTTATTATAAAGTTCAATCATTTTTTTTAATATTTTTTAATTTAAATAAGCCAACCCATCTCTTCCACTAACTTATGGTAGGTCGATACATATTACTCATTTTGACAACTCTAAATGAAGACTAAAAAAATTAAAAAAAAATTAAATATAAAAACTAAAAAAAAACTTACCTTAAATTATTAAGACTAAAAATGATTGAAACATATAAATATAAAAAATAAATTTATCTATTTTAAATTATAAGTACTAAAAAAAATAAAGTAAATAAAAGTGAAACTATATATTAAAAAAAAAATTACAGATGGGCAATATAAAAACTTACAAAAAAGATCATGGGCGGTCCGAAATAGATCCGAACCGGACCAATACCAAACTCGTTCCTTAACTCAACATTTCTGTTTACACTTTTCACTTTTCAGGGTCGCTCGCACACTCCCTCTCTAGAATCAACGTTGAATGCCACAAACCATATTCCAAGTTTCTTTAGTTCCAATCTCCAACGTTGGATTGCCCCAACGACGATGCTGTCACCGCAACACATTTGAATTTCTACGCAAAGAATAAATTATAATTTTAAGAAAATGCGTAGACTACTTGGGAAGATTACCGGCTTCATGAGCAATCGAACTATGGTTGGAGTGGACAAAACAGGGAACAAATACTTCACCAGAATCGAAGAGGTTGATGGTGTCAGTAAGTGCCTTTCCATTTTTTCCCTCTCAACCCTTTTATGTTATTGTTGTTATTATCACTTTATGTGTGTTTAATGGGTTTTATTGTGTTTCTAGATTCTGGCTTTGTAGTTTATGCATGTGTAGTTTCAAGTTTGCCTTGTGAGAACTTTTTGTGTCATTTAGGAAAGAGGGGTGTTTTTGCATTGGAATGATCAGCTCACTTTCAATACTTTACTCATATAATATGCTTGATATGATTATTTGAGCCAAAAAGGTTTGGTGTTGGGAACTAACTTTGCCTTTGTCAAGGTTTTTTTTGAGGTTATTAGTTTTTGTTTGATGTAGCATTTGGTGAATCTTTGAACAAGGTTGAGATTGATCTGGTTTTATTAAGTAAAATAATTAAATAAATAAAATCGAATTATTGGCAACTGAAATTTGGATCCATTTTCTTCTCTGCTAGATTGAATCACTTAAGAATAAGATAGCATTTTGGTGTGAGAGTATCAATTTGGAATTTCAAAACTCTGGTTCTTTTTTTTTTTTTTTTTTTTTTTTTTTGTGTGTGTGTGTGTGTTGTTGCATTGTAGTTCATTTTACTATTTGTCTGTCTGATTCTGGTATTTTGTTTTGGTTAACTAGTGAAAGAGAAAAGATGGGTGATATTTAAAGGAGAGGAGGATCCTACCTCTATTCCAGGTAATATATTTTACATTAGCCATCATTCAATTGCTAAATTTTTACATCTATTATTACATTGTGATTCAGGGATGGATCCAATTATTTTATTATTTATATGTTGAATTATTCAGAAAAAGAATATGATTCTTTTATCCTATTTCCCATTCTTAGTAGATAATTACTGTTTAATTTTTTTAGTTGAATGGATATGTTGGCTAAATGGGCAGCGTAAAAAGGCTCCAACTCTAGAGGTAAAATGAAATACATCTATGTATATCTTTTTGGTAGTACCATAAAGTTATCAAAAGACAAAGCTATTGGCGTTTCTTTAAATTTTCAACTCCAAAGGTAAGATGACACAATGTTGCTTATAATGGTTAATCCTTTAAAGTTTTGTTATCTTCAAGGATTGATTTGAAATGAATAAATATTTAATGATTCTATAACCTATCTATCTATATATCATTGAAACTCCGTGACTCTTCTTTCAACAGAAAACAACCAAGCCTTTTCTCACTAGGCATGGCCAATTACATGAATCAAAATGACACCATAATGTTCTATTGTGAATCATGTCTATAAATAAACCAATCACCTCTAAATCCTTTTTAATGGTTTTGTTTGCCTATAATTTTTTTAGGTCTCCCTCTCTTTCTGTCTGTAGACATACCCTCCATCTAGTTTATGTTCATTACTGGGGCTTCTATAGGTTTTTTCCACAGGTGCCCAAATTTCAAAAGTGAGATTCTACCATTTTTTTTCTATAGTAGGTTTTATCCTAGCTTTCTTTCTAATGCAAATATGCTCAAATTCCTAATCCTATTTTGTCTAAGATGTTCACTCATCTAGTGCAACATTTTCATCTCTGCAACATTGAGTTTATTCTCTTATTGGCTTTTTACTGCCCAAAGCTCCGTTCCATACATCATCATGGGCTTTTTAGTTCCGCAATTAAGCTTTCCTTAATAGGGCAAGGTCTCAAGGATAAGGTAATCAGATTGGACAATGCTCTTGAAACATCCTGTTAACATAAATTTCTTACGTTCAGTCATGTCACATTAAAAAAATATAGGCAAGCTGATTTAAATTTCAAACTATATGTCCATTGTTTATCAACTTGCTTCCATGAAAATAATATTTGTATCGACCAATGACCCTAAACTAAGTTCTTCAGCTTAATTATTATAAACAGATTAACTTATTCTGCCATTAAGAGTTCTAAATTTCTAAATATGGTGCGTTGTGGACATTGAAATTATGAGACTTTAATAGTGTAGTTAGATGAATGTAGATAAAGGAAGATTAAACTTCAAGAACTGTTATATAATGGATATCAACTGTCTGTTATATTTTTCTCTTTCTCTCTTTAATCATTTTGGCAAACCATTATATTTCAATTCTTTGAAGTGAATCTAGCTTTGGTCGATTGGTTGTAGTAGTTTAGTTATCCTTTGCCCTTCTTCTGCATATCTGTCTTAGCTTTCTGTCATATTTCCCCCACTTTTCTTGATTTGGATTTTTCTGTTTCTCTTTTTTTTTTTTTTGTTGGGGTTTAAGTGATTAGTTTTGCATCAAATCTTATATGCAAAACTTATTCAAGGACTGTTCACCCCTATTTACAATGGGATACCAAACTATTAAGCCAACCCTTGTAACTTATTAGCTGTAATGTTTTGTGGATGTTTTCGTGCAAAGTGAATTTTTTGTTAGGAGGCACTTTGACAAAGTAAGTAGTTAAGTATGTTGTTTCAGTATTACTTGACAATACTTTTCCCTTCAGGAAATGATGGAATTGGAAGCAAGACGTGAACGTGTTAGACAGAATGTTGCTCGTATGTACCAATTATACTTCAACCTTTATGGATCAATTTGTTTGAATTGAATATGTTGCTCTGATTTGGATATATTCCTAGCTTAACCTTGTCCTCAGCTTTTCATGTGATAGTTCTAAATATAATGAAACAACATTATTGGCCATATTTAGTTCTGTACAGAGACCTTAACACAAACCTCTTTTTTTCCCCAAAGTTCTCAAGAAAGAAGAAGAAGAAAGGATAGCTAAAGAAGGAAGTAAAGGCAAACATGTTAGCCCTGGTGAGATGCTTAAAATTTTATTGGTTTTGCAGTACTCTTAACTTACTCTCGGAAGTTATTGATTAAATTATAATTTCCATGCAGGAAAAGTCAGTGGTCCAGATTTGAAAAGTTTTATTCAGCAATTTCCAGTTCCTTCAGAAGGTCATCTTACTATTATTTTCTTTTGAAAAAAATATTGAGTTCTTTATGTTTTCTTTTCAAAAGAATTTTTTTGGATAAACGGAAATTAAGGATATATAGAGGTTGATCATGACTTTGAGGGAGTTTAATGTTCTCCTTACCCCTCAAAGCAAAATAAAACAAATAGCATTTTTGTTACTCCGTGCAAATGATTGTGTTTACTTTTTCTTGTTCATAAATACCATTCTGAGATTTTAATCCCATCCCTTGTAAAATAAGATATAATGCCCTCCAGAAAGGGGATTCTTGCTGTATATTATCTATATACACTACCTATCCTTTTGAATTAAGGTTTTGACATATTTTCTCCACTCTAGGTTATGAGGTTGAAGAATCACCTAGTGAAATGGGTGGCTTAAGGTGAGTCTTTTGAAATTCACAGTTTTCTTTACCTAAATATATTGTTTGAAATGCATTCCCTTTCTTGGCCCTTACTGTGTCTTGCAGTCTTTTGCCAAAATTTGAAGGTGATTTATTTTTCATCTTTTTCTTCTCATCCTTCTATTAAAATATTGTCAGGAATTTGTTTGGCTGTCTTCTCTTTATTCCTCTTGCAACATTTTGGTAGCCTTATCTCCCTGGGTAAAGTCAGCTATATGAATCATATTACGCCATTAGACTTGGTTAAAAACCAAAATCTCAAGGCTACTATTCACCATAACATCCTTTTTAACAAACTCCCAAACATACCCTAAGGAATAAAATCTAATTAGAGATTAGATCCGGTTACTACATATGAACTCTCTAGGATACAAAGTAAAAGGCATCCATTTCTGATTATGTACTATGGAAATGACATTCTTTGATTAAACTATTTTGATCTCGGGTGTCACAGTCTTGACGTCTGTATTTGTTGCCTTGTTCTGCTTAAATGTTCTTTAACTTGCAATTGTTGTTAGCGACTTCTATTTGCTGTAAAACCATATTTTTTCTTTTGCAAAAAATAGTTTAGGCATAGTTATTCAACTCGATAGTAATCATGTTATCTTTCTGCAGGAATCCTCAAGAGAGCTTAGCAGAGGAAGCAAAAGATGAGTCTGAGTAAGTCCAAATGTGTATATTCTTCGGTCAATGAACATTATGATTGAGCAAAGCTTCAATTAATCTTAATTTTAGTCAATGAAACAAAATCTATGTTCCTACCCACAAACCTGAAGGCAAATCACAGTTGTTTCAAAATTGGAAAATGGCTTTATCAGAGATATCATGTCCCTAGTTTTTAACCCTGCTATATATCTGTTCATAAAATTTGTTTTCAGGTCTTCAGAGCCAACAGGATCTGGTGCATCTTTTAGACCAGGAACCTGGCAACCTCCAAGTTGAGCTTTCAACACAACAAAGATGGCCTTTCTGCTTTTACACGCTGTTTTGAAAAGCCATGCGTGATATATATTTGTTCCTCAAGAATTTGATATAATTCTTGTGTTCTCAGGTTTCTAGAAATATTTATTCATTGATAAACCTTTGTTTAAAGAATATGACCAATAAGACAATATGATGCTTTCTGCATTTGCCATGTTTCTGCTTGCTATAGTGAGTAACTTAGTTCTTCCCGAATAATTTTGATGCATTATGATGTGGGTAGCCCTCAAATCTCAGTTTTGTTAATCATCAGCTCATTAAGAAAAGTATTTGTACTTTTGGATGACTTTGCAAGAACCCTTGCCAAAGCCTGAACTGTAAAACTGAAATAGCCTATTTGTTTTCATGCATAAATGTGGTTACACAATTTCCGAGCTCTCTTTATGTAAAGGAAACATTTTTTTTAATATTTTTACCAAATATCCTGTTGATGGTCAATATTAAACATGCTACTAATCAGAATGAGACAAACACGAGATGAATTTCATAATAATTTAAACAGTGAGACCCTCTGAGGATCTGACCCTATATGCTCTGTGTATCTCTTTTTCTTAACGAAATTTAAATTTAAGTGTAGAGAGAAATCATATCCATGAAAGGTAGTGTCTTCATGTTCTCGACCTCATGCATAGCTAAACCATGAATTTTGAATTTAGGATATCATAATTAAACTAAATAACATTAGTCACATTAAAAATAGGTTTCAATAACTTTGTCATGCCTTTCTCTGCCTTATGAGTCAAGATAACATTATCTAAGTACCTCTACTTAGGACAAAACCACCTTGAAAGGGATAAAAAGATCCAAAGAGACACAATCTCGCTAAAAGAACTTTTATGACCACTTTATATTCTACCTTGCACAGATTGATGGTCTAAAACTCCTTTAGACAAGTTGATCTTAGGAATTAACAGATAAAACTTAGTTACAATGCCATAATGATGAAACTTAATTAAAATTCCAATAGTAAATTTGGTTTTGTTCCTAATGAGAATAAGAAATCTACTTTAGTAATGAACCTAGTAATATACATTATCCATATTATCAAGGAGTAAGATAGTATTGATATTATAACTAAGTTTTGTGGGGAGAAAGATAGTACTGATAGTATTTCATATATTTTTTAAATGAGTTCAAAATGAGAAAAAAAATATGCATCGCTTCGATTTGAAGTGATTACGGGAAGAGTTTGAAAATTAAAGTGTTTAAAGGTTATGTGGGGAGAATAAAATTCTTCACAACTTCTCAACGACAAAATTACATCAACAAAATTATGTGGTGGAGAGGAAGAATAATTCACTGCAAGAAATGACTATAACTATGTTGAATGATAACACTAATCCTGAGTACTTCAAGGTTTAAGCAATGAATACGACTAGTTATTTACACAATATATTATACATTAACATACATTGAACAAGACTCTATATGAATTATAGAAAGGAGGAAAGGTCAATATATTATACTTTCACCTTTTTGGATTTTAATGTTTTGTATTGAACATGAAAGACAACCTTTGGAAGTTTGATTCTAAGTATAACATTGGAACTTTATTAGGCTATTCTGAAACGTCCAAAGCCTATAGAGTGTATAAATTTAGAACCTTAATTATTTAAAAAGTAGCTCATGTGAGATTTAATGATAATAAGCTTGTTAAGGAATTATAAGAGTTGAGTGAATCATTTGTAGACTTGTAGGTGGATGAAAGAAAGAAGAAAAAAAAGGATGTCTAATATTCTAGCAAATGAACTTGAGGAGGAAGAAAATTGAGAACCTTCTGGACGAAATTGACAAATGAAGAACTAATTGTCCAAATAATGAAGTTATAAGAAATGTCCATGATAAGTAGGGATGAGAATAGATCAAGATGGACTTTAAATATATAGGCTGGAAGTTAAAGTCTAAGTCTGACCTATTATCTATCATAAACTTTTTTATAGGCTTGACCTGACCTTTTTAAAGCTAGTCTGGCCTATTAGCCTATTTAAATTATTAATGTTAATTAGGCCAATAAACTTAATTTTAAAAAATTAACAAAATTATTTTTAAAATATAGTTTACTCAATATTATTAAATTTAAATTTTAAAAAAAATATAGGAGAAAAATTGAATCATTTTTTATTGAAGGCACAATTCATACGTAATCATGTATGCTGATGTACATTCATGCACAGGTTATAAGTTTATAAACCTAAAATGAAAAAAAATTGTATAAAAAATATTCTAAATTTTAATAATTTTTTTAATAAATTTATTTATTTATTTATATTTTTAATAATATATATTAATTTTTTATTACATTATATAAATAAATAAGCTGACCTATTAGGTCTAACAAACTTTTCTATAAGCTTAAGCTTGACTTTTTTTTTTATATAAATAAACCTTTTTAAAAATTTAAACGACCTTTTTATGAAAAAGGCTAGACTAGGCTAGACTTTAAAGAAGTTAGGCCATAAGCCCCTGTTTAAGGCCTAGTCTATTTTCATCCTTAATGATAAGGTTAGAACCAGATCATCCTTCTGAAAAGCTCACACTACTCTCATTTAAAGATTGAACCAAAAACAATCGATGAAGCTTTGATGGAAGGGTGGATCAAGGTTATGCAAGAAAAACTTGATTGATTTCAAAAAAATGACACATGGAAGCTTATTCAATCCCCTCAAAACAAATCAATAAATAGAACAAAATGGGTATCTAGGAACAAGCTAGATGAAATAGGTCAGGTTGTGACAAAAAAGGTTAGACTAGTAACTTAAGGTTACTCGCAACAAGAATGTAATTTGAGATAAAAGAAGAACTTTGAATATATAAATTATATTGTAATTAAAATTCATAATAAACAAATACTTTTGAACATATAAATTATATTTTAGATTTATATATTAAACAACTCAACAACACAATAAACAACACAACATCCCTATGCGTCGTCACATTTCAACTTATGAGATATCCAACAACATAGGTGGATAATTTAAGTGGATTGATCTTATCAAACCATAATAGCTGACCCTTCATCTCTAGGTTAAGTTTGCACAACATTTGGCTTCAATTTAGACCCAATCAGAAAACAAAATTTTAAGCCGAGTTAACAATTTTTTTGGTTTCTCAGATGTCGTCATTAGGAAAGTCAAGTACTTTCATTTGAAAAAAAAACTTGGGTGTAAACTACCCACGATATTAATATGCACCAACTAAGTCTATATGAAATTATCCCACCATCTACCCTCCACAATACTACACAACCTACCAATATTCAGTTAGGAATTTTGACCTCTGATCTTATGCCTTACTCATTGGTCACTTCACAAAATAGTTTGGCTCAACCTTGCCCTCATACCGTTTCAACTAAGAACTTAGATGAGACAACTTTTAAATCAACTCTCCATTTTAGGAGTCAACTCTTTAAAGGATTTTCATTTTTTGGGTTCTTAAAGACTACAACTAAGACCCTCACAATGAAAATTTTCAACATAGAAAACAACTTACTCTCCTCTAATTATAAGTTCAACTCACAACGTAGAAAGCATGCACCATCCATTAGCAACAAAAATAGCTTTCTCTTATACAACACAAAACACCTTAACCTAGAACCGCATATAAATATATATACACCATCATCATCATTTTATGAAATAGGAGAATCAACACAAAATAACATACTCATGTATCAATATACTTCAACTTACAATAAGTAGTAATCAACTTAAAACACCAACACCTCATCAAGATTCAACTTAAAGAACACATCAACATAAAACAAAGGAGTCTTGTTGGGTGAGTAAAGCCTTAATGGGCACCCAAACCTTTTATAGTTTCTCACTAGGCAGATTGCTCTTACATAATAAGAAAAGATTATCGTAGTTTTCCTCCCTAGGTGAGCTTGACCCACTATGAGTCACCTCACTAAGTAACCACAATTGGATGAGCAACCGATACCTCTATAGGTCCTTTTGTTGGGTGCGCTTTAACTCGTTGGGCAAGCTCTCATTAGAGTCACCCACAAATTCCTCTTCTTGTCAGGCGATACTCACATTGTTGAGCAAGAATATGAATTTGGATAGATGTTCATCAACTATACATTCGAGTGAGGATGTTTTCTCACTTGGAAAGAATGCAAAACTCCACTATGTAATTCACCTTCTCTCAACAATTCTAGCCACTAATCACCAGTCCTACCACATGTATTCTATCATGCTCACTCACTACACCTCAAGTAACAACAAAAACATAATAAACATCACATGCAACCATAATCAACCCCCTCCTAAACTTCTTCAATAAAAAAATATAAATCTATAAGCTTTCCTAAACTCAATTGCTTCTACAATAAGAAGAATCTAAGGAAAAGGGAAAAACAATAGAACCCTCAAGAGTCAACTTCTCTCTAAGATTCCAAGTTCTTTAACTTGAATCTTCACTTCTATAACACAATCTAGGTTTCAAGAAAACGAAAGAAAACTTCATCCATAATCATATTGAAGATTAAGCTTCTCTGACTCTAGAACATCTTTGTCTAAAATCCCTCTCTAGAAACTAAGAGAAATGAACTTATGAAGTTCATTCTTTCTTGAAACCTTTTATATCTCTTATGTTTTTGGTCAACTTTGATATAAACTCTAAACAACTCAATTCATAAGGATTCCTTAACTCTTAGAGTTCACAATACAACATACAACACCACACAACACCTTAAAACATCAAACAATTTATAACATTCATAAAAGCAAAACTTATAGTATTGCATTGATGACTAATCTTCATTGAAAAACTTGATTGATCATAATTAATTTTTGAAATTTTTTTTACTAGTCGCCTTTAGTAGAATTTTCTCTTCAAACTATATTTTATTTTTAAGACTCAAGACCAATATTTGCTTAAAGGGACAAGAATTCAATTTTTCTTACATTAATTTGTTAGTTTACTAAAATTACTTATAAATTAATTTTCTTATTTCTCTTTACTAGTTAAGTTTTATCTTTATGTTAAGACAAAATAAAACTTTTTAAATAATGATGTACTTTTTTTATTTACATTTTTATTTGCTAAATATTATTGCATTCATTTTTATAGTTACTTACATTTTTATTACATGATTATTTATTTATCTATTGATATTGAAATCAAACTCAATACTAAATAATTTACAATAATTAATACACTTTTTTTTTTCTCAAATGAGAAAGTTTTCTTAGATTTTTTTATCCCTCTACTTTTCAATTTATCATTTTTTTAATATATTATAAAACTATAAATAATTAAAAACAATACTATATTATAATAAAATTATCAATTATAAATATGAAAATGCTTAATATATTAAAATAAAAAACAAGAGAGAGAATGAAGAATTTATTGTATTTTTTCCAACAAAATGAAATATCTTATTTATAGACATAAATTATAATAATATGATCACAATTAAATTACTAGAATTAGGAAATATATAAATAGTTATAATGAATAATCATAATTAAATATTCATAACACTATTAAATATTAACACACACACTACATACTTTTGTAATAATTATTTTAAAAATTATATTTATGATTTTTTTAACTTCTCTATAACAAAATTAAACTTTAAATTATGAATTACTAATTATTTAATTATGTTATTTTAGTTTCGTATTTAAATTAAAATCTATCTGTACCAAATGAAAAGAAAATTTAAAATCTATCTACGTTTCAGGCATGAAGAAGTGGTAAACGAAGAAGCAAAGCAAAAGCAGTGTGTTCACAACGTTGAACTGTTATTCTCTCTCAAACATTCGTTCTTCTCTCATAACATGCCCTCTGCCCAGGATCCATTCTACGTTGTCAAGGCCGAGATTCAAGATTCTGTAACTTTCTTTTTCTTAATTAGTTTTTCTCAAATTACCTAGGCTAGGGTTCGCGGAAGTCCAATTCCGATAAGAATTCTCTATTTTCCGTGAATAATTCATGCTCTATATTTGAGTGAATGAATGTTATTTTGTCTTTTTTTTTTTTGTGATTTGATGGTCTTGTGGTTGTTGTTTAGATTTTATTTTATTTTTTAACCTAAGGTTATTAATCTGATTATGTTTTTTGCTATGTAAATTTGGGATTTTTGAACGGAACCCAATTGCGATCTGTGGCTTTGTAGAGTGTACACTGCATGATTCTTTTTTTGGGTGTCTGTGATTGGAGCAGGGAAAGCTAAAAGAAATAAAGTATAAATTGAAGTGAAATCTGTGACTGAAACAGGAAATTGTGCTAGAAAGAAATATGAATTGGTGAATTGTTTTGGTGTTGGGATTTTTTTTTATTTTTTGAAGTGTGATGATATGTTCATTTGACTGTCTGATTATTTGTTAATTTCTGCTAGATTGATAAGTTGAAGTCTACTTTTCACCAATGGGAAAGCACTTCTGACGCTGCAGAACAAGGACATCTTATGAAGGAGGTTCTTGCTGGATGCGAAAGCATAGAGTGGCAGGTAGAGCTATTGCATGCATATGCAGAACCAATGACAAAATGGGTTATTGTTAGATGAGCTTTTTCATTCTTCCAACATGTTCATTCAATAAATTGCATGAGTTCAGAATTGTAGACTTTAGACATGCTTTGGTGGCTTTTGGTGCACCAACATCTCGCTGATTTCTTGGTGGGAAGGGGTTTGAATGTTTTGCATTTAGCAATCTAAAGTACTTAAGCACTTACTTTTCTGAGTTCCTCGATTTTGGGATTTTCTGAAGGAGAGAAAACCAAGTTATCATTTTTGGAATACAATTATAATTTTATAGGATTAATATTTTGATTGTTGATGAATATTGAATTTGTATCGTGATTAATTAATTCATTATTTTCCTTTAACTTTCCTTTTCCTTCTTCTTGTATATTTGAAACATCTAGCCTAAGTGTAAGTATCATATACCCTCTCAATCTCTTGCACTTAGTTTTCCCATCCAAATCCCAAAATACCCTAAGTGTGCTTAATGAGGAGGGTGCAAAATAAGGAGTGGAATTAAAATATAGTTGAATGGAGAGATTTTGATTTTCACACTTTTATGCTTGGCAAAGGGTGGAAAATGGATAGAGTGTCTCAGCATATTGGTTAAAAACCTCTTTTGGTCCCTGATAATAATTTTTTGTTTCAATTTAGTCCCATTTTAATTTTAGGTCTCAATTTGGTCCCTAATAATTTAAATCATTACAATTTGGGACTTCCGTCCAAATGATTTAAACGGGGATAACTCCTGCTGACGTGGATGCCACGTAGATGCATAGGTGGATGCCAAATGTCATGAATACACCTAGAACCAGAACGGCCCGTTCTGAAATCAGAACGGCCCGTTCTGAAACCAAAACGGCCCGTTCTGCATGCACATTTTATGTGTTAATTTTGCAACTGGAACGAGTCGTTCCAAATGCAAATTTAACACAACATGAGTGCAGTAGAACGGGCCATTCTGAAACTAGAACGGGCCGTTCTGAAACCAAAACGGACCATTCTGCTGTTAGAACGGGCCATTCTGAATTCAGAACGGCCCGTTCCAGAACGCCAACTTCGTGTTTTTTATTGTATTTTTTTATTATATCTATATTAATAAAAATATAATAAATAAAAAATACAATAAATTAATATTCATTTATGAATAAAACTAAAAAAAAAAAGAATCAAATAACATAAGACCTTCCAAAATCCTTCTTTGATTTGAACTTATCCAGTTCAAAATCTTGACTAAAATGCCGTAATGTGATTCAAAAATTGAAAATAAAAATTCATAATATATCATAAATTCAAAGACAGAAACATGGTTCAGAAACTGAAAACAAAAATTCAGAACATAACATATACTAAAAAAGTTCAAAGAAATTATTGAGAAAGGAAATCATCTGGGTAAAGCTGAAGGGAAACCCTAAACCACAAAAATTCAGGTTGTACCTCTTCAAGAACAAGTTGTTATTATTGGGGTACATCGTCAATGACTTCAAGGGAAAACACCGTTTCGTTTCATCCTTGACTGTATAGTGTCAATTTGGTAGTAAATGATTCACTCCAGTTTGACTAACAATGAAATAAAACTTGTTATCATTGTCCTTAGTGATACACTGCATCGTCCTTAATGATACACTGTATAGCCCAAATGTTTAGTAATTGAAGTTATCAATCCCCATTAACAATATTGCCAAATCTAGTGTTTGAAATGCTTTGTACTTTGGTTTTTTTTACACGAAATTCTGGAACCAGAATGGCCCGTTCTGAAACTAGAACAGCCCGTTCTGGTTACACTGTTGGTGTGTTAATTTTGCATCTGGAACGGTCCGTTCCAGGTAGAAAATTTACACACCAATAGTGTAACCAGAACGGACCGTTCTGGTTCCAGGTATATTCTAGTATTTTGGGATCCACCTACGTGGCATCTACGTGGCATCCACCTGGCATCCACGTGGCCACTAGTTAACTCCGTTTAAATCATTTAGACGGAAGTCCCAAATTGCAATAATTTAAATTATTGGAGACCAAATTGAGACCTAAAATTAAAGTGAGACTAAATTGAAACAAAAAAATATTATAAGGGACCAAAAGAGGTTTTTAACCATAGTTTTAAAAACCGGACCGGTCATCGAACCGGTTAAGGTACTGGGTCAGTGGGTCAAAGGTTGAACCAGTGGGTCACTAGTTGAACCGCATGACTCGGTTTTTATTTATTTTTATTAAAAAAATATTCATATTAAATATATTTTATACTTATAAATTTTAATAAATTTATATCTTATTTTAAATTTCAATTTTTCTATCTTATTTAAAATTATTTTTATTTTTATTTTGTAAAAAA